TTTGCCTCCGAGAAGCCTTTTGTTCCGACTTCCGATTTTGATTTCTAATCGAGAAATGAAACGGTTCGATCAAACCGGAAATTATCAAACTAAACCAGTAAGCCCGAGCTTCCTGATTAAAAAAGCCCATAGATCTTTTCTCTTAAAAGCCCGAATATGTACAAGGGTAATTTCGTCATTTTAATTTCGGAAACCCTAATAATTTCAACTTCCTACAAAAACCTTTGAGCTCTTTGTCCAAGCGCCTCCTCTCTCGTCGTCTCTGTGACTCTGATCGCATTTCCAGAAGAAACCTAGAAAATCCGAGAAAGCAGCAGCCATGCCGCCGAAGTTGGATCCAAGCCAGATCGTTGATGTGTACGTCCGTGTAACCGGAGGAGAAGTCGGAGCCGCGAGTTCTCTAGCTCCGAAGATCGGCCCACTCGGTCTCGCTCCAAAGAAGATCGGAGAAGACATCGCCAAGGAAACCGCAAAGGAATGGAAAGGACTGCGAGTCACCGTCAAGCTCACTGTGCAGAATCGTCAGGCTAAAGTGACGGTGGTTCCATCAGCGGCCGCACTTGTGATCAAGGCGTTGAAAGAGCCGGAGAGAGACAGGAAGAAGGTGAAGAACATCAAGCATAACGGGAATATCTCGTTCGATGATGTGATTGAGATCGCTAGGATCATGAGGCCTAGATCTATTGCTAAAGAATTGAGTGGAACTGTGAGAGAGATTCTGGGGACTTGCGTTTCTGTTGGATGCACTGTTGATGGGAAAGATCCGAAAGATATTCAACAAGAGATTCAAGATGGTGAAGTTGATATTCCTGAGAATTGATTTTAACCTGAATTGGAAAATGGTTTGTTCCAAGTTTCTATCATCGCTTTTGTGTTTTTGCTTTTTTGAGATTTTAGTTTCTTCTCTATTAGAACAAGAAGTCAGTTTTGGATTGTTGTTTTGCTGGTTTTTATTCAATCCCAACTTTTATGCTATGCGAAATGCTTCAACTTGGATTAGAAAATATGAATCTGAAAATGACTGGCCTTGAGTTTATTAGTTGAGTTTGATATATTGCAGCTTTTAGTAGTAATTGTGTAAGCTCTTTTTCAAATGCATATGGGTTATTGGGTATTGTTGATTTTGATGATTAAACGTGATATTTTTGTTTCGAATAGAGAAATAGTATATTACAAGTTGGAATTAGCAAAAACAAAAAAGATAATGCTTGTGTTGAACATTCACTGCAATTTGTATCCCAAATTCTGTTCCTCTTATCTTAAATCGGCTTCTTCTTCATCCACGCTTCTGCTTCTTAAATCACACATCCATGTCCCAAGTATGAGTGGCGGAGTAGGTAGTGATGTATCAATGTAATGATTCATTGTTTAGAGGAGAAATGAGACAGATAAGCAAAGCAAAGTGGTCTGTCTCATCAAACCAGAGGCTCTTAGAACGAATTGGTAGAGCTGTCAAATGGGTTGACCACGTCCAAATGGTCATGTCCAAGCGGACATTTTCTTTTGCGGACAAGTAATGACCACGACCATTTACGACCGTGACCAGTAACGACCATGTCCAAATGGTTTGTCCATGGGAATCCACTTATATATGTTTTAGATAATTTGAATATGTTTAATTTACTTGTATATGTTTAATTCTATATATGTTCTTTGACAATTAATCATCAAAAGACAATAATCAATTCAAATTGTTTGTTTAATAAATTATTTGAAAGTTTGTTTTTATCTATTGTTTATTTCTAATTTTTATGTAAATATTAAAGGATGTAAATTCAAAAAATTTCAGAC